AATCCTCAAAAATAATTGCATCATAACTCAATTATTTATATGTTTTAATAGTGACTCAATTAATTGCATCAAATAATGCGTCAAGGATTTACAAATTTCAGCAACATGTATACAATAAACCAATAATTTTTAATATTTTTATATGTTTTTTTGCCAGAATCATGGAAATATTAATTTGATATACAGTACGTATATAATATCTTTTATAATTTTTTAGATTAACTGTTATTTCTGTTTTTCTGGTTTTAATTAGTTTTAAAGATATTGTGCTCACGAATTAATATTGCTTTTTATTTAAATAAAGATATTTTATATGAGAATAAGTTAAAAGGTTTAGTAATAATAAATAAATAAATAATAAGCCTACTTGACCATTTTCCCGAAATTTTTTTTTAAAAAAGTTTTGTTATAATATGATCTAAAGAGAAAAGGTCAAATACTGTATATTTATTTAATTTATTTTTTATTCAAGTTTTTAATACTTTACAACCAATAAAAAAACTATTATTTTTTTACTCCAAAAAACCTCATCGTAATATTTTAAATTTATCAATTAATTTTACTATTTAAAAACGGGTGATTTAAAATTCAATATAATAAAAATGATATCATTATAATTTTTTCTATAATTCAAATAGAGAAAATAATGCGTGAAAACTATTGAAATTTTAATTATAAAATGTAGTTTTTGGTCCATGTGTACACAAGGTATTTAAAAGTCATTATTTGATACGTCTAATTCGTGGAAAAAAAATACTGTACATTTATTGCAAAGTAAGATAAAACCGATTATATCACCTCAGTTTTAATTGACATTATTTTGTTCATAATTTATGTTGTCTAAAAACGTAATATCGAAGGGCTACTTTGGAGAACTCTTCTTTTCGTAAGGAATTATATGCAAATTTTTTTATGATGGATTCAAAAATGCGCGAATCGCAATACGTACTTGTTTATGGTCCTATAATTTGCAATTACAATAACATATTAACATATATTTTTTTTCTAGATGCATAGCATGAGATTTATCAGTTGGTTGTTTTATATACGTGCAGTATATCATTGAATATCTAAAAAAAATTAACTAATGTTTTGACAAACAAATACGAAATAGACATGACAAGCATAAAATGAAATGATTAATTTTTTTCGATCAACTTTACGTGTGGCAAAGAACTTTTGTGTCACATTAGAAAGCATCCCGAAGTATACATATTATGCCTATCAATTGTCGATGCTTGGTATAAACTTTATAATTTCTTCACGATTGTTTATCTTTTTTTATTTGCATCGCGTTTATTACTCTAGTTTCCCGAGATGTATCAGGAACCACCTCTTGTTTCGTTTTCCCTGACTCACGTAGAATTCGATCCTACTGATCCATTAGCCTTCCTATTTGCCTTTATCACCTTATCTCCATTGGCGTTAATTGTCTCGTATGTCACCATAATTCTAGCCAGAAGAGAGATGGTGGCGATTAACATGTTTTTTGGACAATTAATTTGTGAAGGGTTGAATTTCTTACTGAAACGGTTGATCAAGGAGAAAAGACCCGGTAAATTTAAGATGTTTATAGATATGCGTATATAGAGATATATACACAATGTAGACGCTCTCTTTGGAACTCGTCGAGTCAATTGAGATGCACTTTCTCAAATTCTTGCTCATATATTACCATTCAGAGAAACTTGGAAAAGGATACGGAATGCCATCTTCTCATGCTCAGTTCATGGCATACTTTACAACGTTTTCAATTTTATACTTGTACACAAGGTGAACATTCTTTAATTCATTTACCCATGAACGATCGGTTGCATTCTTGAATGACAACTATTCATTTTCTTTTCATTTTATCGCAGAATAACTTTCGGAAGAAATTCGCAAAAGTTTCCAATATGTATAGGTTTGATCGGATTATTTTTAGCTGTTACGTATTCAAGGTATCATTGTTGTTTTGTGTTCTTTCTTTCCATTTTTCAAAAAAAAAAAGGGTCCATTTCTACGCATCTCAGCTTTCTTAAATCCATTCAGTAAATCTCCTGAGTCAACACTCTCATTCCACGACTTTCTTTCCACCTTTCACACAGAATCTACCTCAATTATCACACCCCAAAACAAGTAATGGTAGGAAGTATCACTGGAGCCTTCTTCGCAATAGCGTGGTTCTTTTTTTTAGAACACGTTTTACGTCCATTAGGACTATTTAGATACATATTGGATTCGCAGTTGGCCAGATATTTTTATTTACGCGATTCTTCAGACATTGAGGATATAGTAAAGATTGAATACATGAACTGGTTGGAGTTGAATAAGAGGAATGGTATTAAAGAGGCTAATAAGAAGGATAGGTGATGAAAGTTGGAAAACAGGATTGTAAATGAGTTGTTAGTAGGAAAAGTGTGCATTTCGAAGTGGAACCAAAATAAATCCAATATATTCAGGACTCGGTCGATAATGAGAGTTGGTTAGTTCAAATCCAAAACAAGATCAAACCACTTCTCATTTCCTAAAACAAAATAAATTTAGAAAATTCCTCAAGAATTAAAATCATCTGTCTTTAAAACTTACCATGAACAATTTGACTTTCACCTTTAAACACGAATCCGGCTTTCTGGTATAATGGAATCAAATAATCGTGACTAATCAACACGATCCTTTCGTACTTCCTCTTCCCTTCATTCTCGCGGTCTAATTCCCGGAAATCTTTCCCCAATCGTTTAATATACTCTTTTAACAATGCAAGTGCCACACCACGTCGCCTATAATGCTTGTCAACACATACTGAATGAATGCAAACGGTTTTACCCGATGGGTCATGATGAGACATTGATTCTTCGGTCAGCGAGGGAGAAATGGTTAGTGTGGAAACTATGAAGCCAATTAGAATAAGTTGTGAAGATTGGAGAGAGGATGAAGTATGGGGAAGGGTGGAGGAAGTGGAGAGGTAAGCACCGAGGAATAATTCGGGCGCGTGTTTCTGACGATAGATGAGTTTTTCTAAAGTTGCTGCTTCCTCGGGAGGATATCCTTTTGGAGGGAGAAAAAAGAAAATGTGTAGACTCGGTTGATTGAAGGAATCATGATAAAGAGTAGTCAAGGTAAATTTTCACCTTGAGATTCAAGTTCAAATGCTCGTTCAACATCCGATTCACTGACATATTTGAAAGTCAAAGAATTTAAGAAGGAATCCGAAGACATGTTTGTTAAAGATCATCAGCATTTGCGCAATCAGCATTCATTTAAACCGATCTATTCATCGTGATAGCCAATGAAATTTGAAGATAAATTTTTTGCACTGAAATTTTCGTAATTCGTTATTCCATTCAAAATGCTTCGATTTTCTTTCCAGCGTCGCAAATTTTGCTCATCAATAAAAATTTCTTTCAACAATGCTCGTTTGCTTTCTTGCTATCTCAAATCCCCTCATAAACCCCTGATAAATTTGAATCATTCTCGGAATGTGGTGTCAAATATTCCCGTGATGCCATTTTCCAAAATTTTTTTCCGGTTGTATCTGTCCAAGGTTGACACGAAAAAGACCTCTCAATCCGATCAATCTCCTGATCGATTGCTGATTTATGTTGGCCCATTTGCAAAGGATCTCATGCTTTACATAAGGTTGGCTGCATTTTTTTGTGCTCTGGGATTTTTGATGACCCCCACAATGTTAATGTATGGGAAGGCACCCGTGGCAGGCATTATAGGTAATCGCTCGAATATCAACGAATTCCTCTACCTATCACCAACATTTCTTAATTTGGTTTTTACGCGTTCGCACAGCTCCGATAGCAGTCACAATTCCGACACTCTTCATCAACAAGATAAGCGCTACCTACGTAAGTCGTTTATACATCGACTTACCCTCCAAAATCAGATATAACCCAAAGATGCGAAGAACCTTTAATCCCAAACTAATAGATCCGCCCGGAGGAAATCCCACGATTTTTATGGAGACCTATAATTGGCTAGGTATAACGCGCGAACAAAGCGTGAAACTAAACGAATTAAAAGAGTATAAGGGAACGAACAAGTGGGTAACGTGGGTTAGAGCCAGTGATGGCGGAGGAGGAAGACAAACGAGATTTTATGTGGAAAAGGAGGCGATGAGACGGGATCCGTTTACCAAGGGTTTGGTGGAATTTATTGAGAAGAAGGATGGCGTATCACCGATCGCCAAGTCGACGATAAAGAATAAAGTTTCATCATGATGACAAGCAACTAATTTCGGAATGTATAAATTTCGGAATTTTTTACTTTTTTCTATTTCAAATAAAGTGCGTCAACACTTGTTTAGAAAATTTATTCTAAAGATTGATTGATCAAGGTTGTTTGTTCGGTATTCAAGAGAATGTACAAATGTGACAATTACTTGAATCACGCTTTTAGATTACAGTTAAATGATATAAACATGACATTCGAAATAAACAGGGAACGTTCGACAGTGTCAAATTTTAATGTTACGCTAAGGGGAAAGGATCGATTTGGGGGATGAAAGCTACGCTGAAGAAAGGTGAAAAACGTAACCGAAGAAAAGAATTCATTACAATGAATATATATTCATTAAAAAGAAAAGAAAAATCATTAGATTAAGTAAGTTCATAAAAAAGGAAGAAGTTCTATCTCGTTAAAATAGGAAAAAAACAAAACAATTTGTATCTTTGATAAAACATCCCATGCTGATGTTTCATTCATTAAATGTATAAAAAAAATTCAATACCCTTTTCTATAATATCAATCAAGCAAGTTATACAATTAGGAAAAACTTGAATCATTTCTTGTCGGCAATTTTTTTTCCTCTTCTTTAATTATCCTTCTTGCTCAAATCCCATAAAGGTAGACTGATGGGCGAAAGATCAGGTGTTAGGAGTACACCTGCCAAACAATAGTAGACACACGAAGAGCAAAGGACTATTCATGGAAAAGGAAGAGTGAATGAATATAAATCCTGTGAGATAAAAAGAGTTCAATTTTCACAACAACGTCGTAGATGCATACTTCCTAAAACACCGGCTATTTTAATGAATATTGTCGTAGATGGGTTGAAATGATAGATGACCTCAAAGAGGAAGCTGGCGGTCAAGAAGACGAAAGCACCCAAGACAGCCATATTCGTGCGAATACAAGCAAGTGTAAAGATGAAGGTAACTGATTATCGAAAAAATTCATGACATTAGATCGTGGTACATGTTAGGAGCGCGGTACGGGGAGGAATGTGAAGATCTTACATATCAGCCAACCAAGACAATATATAGCAAGGGAGTGGTGGAACTGTTCGACTGCATCACCTACAGTGGAATTTATGGCTACGAAATTGCCCGCAAGATCGGTCTTGACTCCAAAGGCATCTTGAATACCCTACGTACGCGTTATTAACGAATTGAATTAAATTCCATGGACGTGGTTTTTTCGACACGACATACAGCAATTGCAAATCCGAACATGTTGAAAGCCAATAAACTCACGAATAATGGGATATAAATAGCCCCGAAGGAAGCCCAGAAACCACCGAAGGCGCCGAAACCTGTTCCACCAAATGTATTGCCAACCTTGAATTCCCACATACCAGCGGCGAATTGAACGACACCACCGGTGAACATCGAAACACCGACAATGACATTTGGAATTTGGATTCCGAAAGCACCGATATTGTAGAAGGCTAAAATGAAAACTGATAGTGCAAAGGAGGAAAGACCTTTAAAAGTGCACGTGGAAATTAAGAATCATATTCAGATTAGTTATTTAATGGAATTCGTGGAATGTGCAATTGGGTCAGCTGCGATGTAAGGAGAATTACCAAGAGGGGTTGGATTTCCGATTTTAGGTGCCTTGTGCACGGTGCTTCTTGGTCGACTGGCTTTCTCGTGATGAGTGGCAAAGTCCTGAATGTAGATTTGTGCGTCCGGCATGATTGAATCTTTTTGCAGAGGATAGTAGAATTTTCTTAATCGTTAACAAATTTCTTGCTATT